ATATACACACACACACATATATATATATATATATATATATATATATATATATATATATATATATATAGTTTCCTGTTAGGTATTAACTATTTCAGCACAAGATCTTCTGTATTTTGTGATGATTTCAAACCTAAATGTTTTTTTTTTTTGTCAAACTGATTTATACCAATTATTAAAAATACAAGTTATGTTTTTGTAGTGGGAGCTAAAGTTAATCGGGCGTGTGTGTGTGTCGTGGGGGGGGGGGGATTGAAGTTTTGGCTTAGGTTTAGGATGAGGTTAAGTTGACAGCTGATGGTAAATGAGCTTCACCTTCTCCCTCCCTGCAAGGCCCGCCTGTTGAGGTACGAGGACTCCAGTGATTGGCTGTTTACCAGCCAGGTGATCAAGGTTAAATCTGCCATCTGACATTCAGTGAGCACATGACAAACCAGCTCCAGTCCTGAACCTAGTGGAGAGCATTACAGTGGTTTAGAGCATAAAGGCATGACATCTGATATACTGGCACAAACTGAGGCTTCCTCGTACCATGTGGACTTTCAAAGATGGTTCCATTAACTGGGTACACAATCACTGGTGGTCCCACTACAGGATGGGAGACATAATCAAGATAATTTAGCAGTTTCAAATTTTTCAGTATCCTTAATGAAATGTGGATAATTTAAAAGCTCACCATTAACGGTGCTCATGGTTCTGCTGTGAAGATCTGCCTCTGGTGTGGTGGAGACTTCAGGAACAGAGGTGCTGAAAGCAGGATCTGTGCCTAACACACACAAAATCACACTTTTTTTACTGGTCGGACTCTTTGCCAGACAAACTGTATTTTTTGAACATTCTGGGTGAGATTTGTTTCCCTGTGGCTGCACAGGTGTTGCGATGCACCTGTTTGTCCAGCAGAGAGCAGGACACATCTTTCAGCTTTCTGTTCTTACAATCAGGCAAACTAATGAACTGATGCGTTTCTTTTCACAACAGAAAGTAAACTGACTCATGCACAGGCTTAATTAATGGCTTCTCACTAAACAGTATAGAAATACAATATGAGGACTGTTAATTAAAGGAATAGTTGTGATGTTTTGATGTGGGGTTATGTAGAAAGGTTATGTTTAAGGTAGTTTTTTGATCAGCCTCAGTTTGGGGAAAAGGAGTTTGATTCTGGCTCTGATGATGAGCTTAAAGCTAGTCCTAGCAGAGTCAACACCAAAATCAATTACTGCCATCTTAAAACAAATCTGGTGTTAAAATAAGCAGCAGTTGTGAACATGATCTTGTATACCATTGCCCCACTGTTAATTACACAGTTGCTAGAAGCAATCTTATTTCTGTAGACATGTCCAGGTTATATGGGAACTACTACAGATACTGTAGCTTGCAGCTACTTGTACTTGCAGAAACCACACACAAACAGTATGTACACGAACCAACGTGGTATTGGGAAGTGATCGATTCTGGTCTAGGTGCCATTAGCTCATCAAACTGGTCAGAAATAAATTGTTTTTCGTTAAACTCAAGTTTTTCAAAGTTCTGTATGCAAAAAATAAAATAATGATTGTTCATAACCTTTCCAATAATCATACTTCAAATGATATGAGTGCTACTTTCAACCCTCGCCTACAAAAAATGATAACTAAGCTTCACAATGCACATCTCTGCAGATGTTGGACAACATCTGTAGTGTCATGTCTGGAAGTGTAGACATTAAGAGCTGCAGTTTTATGTAAAGTTTCAGTTCAGCCTTCACTCACTGGTTATCGTTTGCATGTGACCAACCTTGCACGTGGAGCAGGAAGACTCTGCTGACTTGGTAGTGCTGCTTGTTGATGAGCACGGTGAGCCGGCAGGTGTAGACTCCGGCGTGGGACCTCCTCACTGCAGGGATCATCAGGACTCCTCTGTCTGGCTGAAGAGGAGTGGAGTCAGAGTCCTGTCGATGAGCACACTTGTTACTTTAGTCTGGATTCAGATCTGAAAACAAGACTGGAAATCACAGCTGTTTCTGCAGCTTCATGGGTTAATGGTTCATTACTCACTTTGAACCACTCGATCAGCCCGTCTGTTTTGTTGAAGCAGCTTAAAGATGGACAATTAAATTCCACTCTCTCCCCCTCTGTGGCTGACCATGGATAGGACAGAGAGTTTAGGTCCACAGAATCAGACTGGTACACGTGTAGCACGATCCTCCCAGTAACACAATAGGTGTCGTTTCTGCAACAAGCACAGACAGAAATCAGAAATCTCTGCTAGCAAGTGATACATTTGACAAATCAGCTAAAAGCTATGAAAGCTGAAAAAGGCCCGACGTTAATATTTTGTTTCCTGTCAAATTAGATATTTAATTGATTTGTTTTACTCAACATTTCATGACTTTTTTCACACAATTTATCAGAACAGAAAATCTATTTTAAATCATTAAATTTCAGGTGTTTTCTTTCAGGGTTTTTCCAAGTGGGGGCTGCCAGGGGGTGCCCCAGAGAGCTGGAGAGAAGAAGATTAAAAAAGCAAAAACAAAAAATAGTAATAATAATAATTGCCCACTAGGGCAATCTGTATTTGTCATTTCCAGATAAACACGCTTGAGAGAGAGGTTAGACTTGTTGTTTTGTTCTTTTGGGCAACAGTTTGTTGAAAAGTTGTTGTTTTTCAGTGGAGATATAATACAGTGTTTAAAACATGTTAGTTAATAACAATTTTATGCTCAACAGCTGTAATTATTAATAGAGTTTAGTGAATAAAAGTTAAAACATTCTAACAGTTGATGTTTCTGTACATATTTTGTAGCATTGTTTGGGGGGGGGGGGGGCTCGACCAGAAGCTAATGCTGTTTGAAGGACCATGACATGGAGCAGTTTGGGAACCCCTGTTTTATTTGACCTTGGTGTTCTCAGTTTAAAATGATCATTAACAGAACTTTTCCACACCTGACTGTCTAAATCACATCTGATCAGTTTTGGTCATTAAAGGTTTTGAGGCCGTGCTCACAACTCTGTCTGAAGCAGCACAACAACCAACAACTTCTTCTTCTTCTTTCAGCTTTTCCCTCTTCAGGAGTCTCCACTGCGAGTCATCCTCCTCCATCTCACTCTGTCCTCACTCCAACTACCTCCATGTCCTCGCTAGCTGCATCTATCTCCTCTGTCTTTTTCTTGGCATCAACAATACAATGGCCAACAGGGTGTGCTCTGTTTGTTAAAAGTACTTTCTTACATTCCAACAGGAGGTTGGCTTAAGCAGTGAAGCTACCTGTGGAGCAGATCTGGTTGGCAGGCCATAGATTGACGAAGTTCTCTGGATGGGGGACGAAACGTTTCTCACTAAACTTGTCCAGATGAAATTATTTAAACTTTTTTTGTTGGACCATATAATGGTTTGAATATTTTGAATCATGCCATCTATGACGAGGAGAGAGGCCAGGAACCTGACGTGAAAGCTACAAGAAGTTGAAGACAGTATGGTCAAAGAAGTTTGTTAACGATCCATCAGAGGGTTAGGTCCATCATATTTGAACAAAATAGAAATAAAAATAGGGAGCGAGGTGCAAGCTTAGGAGAATTAAGAGAAAATTAAATTTTTAATGAAGACTCAGGGGTTTCTCATCCAGCTCAGTGTAAAACATCACTAAGGATGGAGGTGTAGAAAAGAGAAAATCTTTGGAAAGCCTTTGAAAAAACCTTGACAAATATTTTTAGTGCATTTTCTAAATTTGGTCAGCAGACGTAGAGATTGTTCTCATCGCTAAACTTCTGAACAGGAACACTCATTTCAAACACACATTGTTGCATTTTGGTTTAATTAAAAAAATATTTTGCTTCTGCTTTTTGTCTGTTTAATTTTAATATTAGAGTTTAGAAGAACCCATGAAGAGAAACCGTCTACCGGTAAGTGCAGCTGTATTCCCCTGAGTCCGAAGGTCGGGCTGGGAGGAACCACAGCTGGTTGACCTGCTGCTGCACGCGTCCCTCGCTCCAGTACGCCTCGCTCTCCGTCCCGTTGTTCCTGGTGATCAGGTACTTTGCCGTTGGCAGGGCTATTCTGCGTACTTCAAGAACTCTCGTGAAGATGGGGAAGTGGAGGATTATGGCCTCACCCTCCACTCTGAACATCTCCACCTCTGGAGACACCTGGTGACAGCCATCTGAGGTAGACACAATAGCTGAACATTAGGCATAGTGACAGCTATGTTTTCATTGTTAATATTATGCTAATTGGGTGGTAATATGTTAAATTAAGCTGACCTGTTCACAGCTAATTTAGCTAGAGGTCATCAGAAGCAACCTGGCATTTTTTTCATGTATAATTATCTTCTCTGGGCTCGATAAGAATTTGGGACTTGAAAAAATTAAGATGATAACATTATTATTATTATTTAATTTTATGGAAAGTGGGTGGCACTGTGGCTCAGTTGATAGAGCTGTTGCCTCTCAGCGAACAGGTTGCCGGTTCAAATCCTGGTTCACGGGCCTTTCAGGGTGGAGTTTGCATGTTCTCTCCGTGCATGTGTGGGTTTTCTCCAGGTACTCCAGTTTCCTCCCTTAGACCAAAAACATGCATGTTAGACTGACTGGTAACTCTACATTGTCTCTAGGTGTGAGAGAGAGAGTGAATGGTTGTTTGTCTCGTTTGTCTCTATGTGTCCCTGTGATGGACTGGAGATCTGTCCAGGGTGTCCCCCACCTCTCACACAGTGATAGCTGGACATGAGCACCAGTGACCCTCGCAACCCAAAAAGGAAGTGGGTAAAGATAATGGATGGATGGATGGATGGATGGATGGATGGATGGATGGATGGATGGATGGATGGATGGATGGATGGATGGATGGAA